CAGTGTGGCATCACCCTGCACCTAGATGGTCAGCACAGGCTCATCCTCACAGCAGCTGTCAAGTCAAAAAGCCCTGCAAAGGCTCAGGCAGCCACAGCTCCACACCGTTGACGGAAATCTTTCGGAAACAGCTTGAGCAAGCATCACAGCATGGCTCACAGGACTCCTCAGAAGACACCAGCCAGCAGGCACCACAGGAGTCTCAGGTCTTGCAAGCACAGGTCAAGAAACCAAGACTTGACCACCGGTGGACACCTCCGTCCAGCACAGAAGAGCACCCAAGGCCTACACCACGAAGACTGCACTTCCCAACGGACCTGGACCTACAGGAACAGGGCTCCAAGCACGCCACAGCTGCATTGGCCATGAACCCCAGCCATGAGGCAGCACCGGCGCCAAACAGTAGCTCAAACAGGGCCACTGACACACCACATCGAGCACAAGCCACAGTCGAGGAGACTGCCAGCCAGACCAGTCAAGACAGTGAACCTGAAGCTCACTCCTTCACTGTCGAATACTTCCGAGCGGGCAGCCAGAACTGAGGCACCTGACCTAGCCAACTGGCCACCAGGGCCCACGAAGCAAACACTTCAGAAGAAAAACAAACAAACAAACAAACAAACAAACATACATACATACATACATACATACATACTGTATATGTCTGCAATTTTCGCTGCTTGAACAACCACTGCATGGCCAACCGTGCCTCAGGCAATGGACAGCCAACTTTAGCTCAGCTTTCCGCTGGTAGGTCACCTCATCCTCACCATTTTTGCATACACAATTTTTGCATCCTCACCATTTGATGTGACCTGTGAACATGTAAACCATGCATGGATTGCTACTAGGAACAAGTGCCACGCTAGTAGTAACAGGTGCCTTACTAGTAGTAACAAAGAAGCTATTAGAAACAAGTGCCTTACTACTAGTAACAATAAGAATATAATTGGAATTGTATGGAATTGTAATTAATTGGACCAACAAAATGTACATCACAAAGGAATGGTGTGATGTTGCTGGTTCCATGCTGCTGATTTCTGAGTCCGTCTGGCTGTACTTCAGCATGGTATACGATATACAAAAGGATACGGGATATGCTTCAGTTCTCTCTTCAATTCAAAGGACAAAAAAAGGTGTTGCATGTTGTCTCTGTGCGAAGCCAACCCTGGCCAACTCAATCGTTCTTGGTGTTCGCATCGCCAATGAACCTGCTTCTCCATATTGGATCGATGGAGGTCCGAATGCTTTTCATGGCCTCACCAAGACAATACTGAGCGGAATGCCTATTTGCAAGTAGTAGTATGATGTAGCCACCAGTAGTGCGGGTAGCAAAGGACCGAAAAGTTTTAATACACGGCCTGGAAAAGTGTAGCTTCCAGCATGTTCACAAATGCAAAAAAATCCGCTCGCACCGAAGGTGCTCAGGCGTAATTTTGTGTTTGTTAGTATCGGCCCAATAGTGCACATCAGTTAGAGCTCCCGGCCCCAAAACAGAGGAAAACCCTCAGCTTTTGACGTTTTGTACAAGTGCACAAAGGTGGCCGTGCGCTGGGCGATTCAGGGCAATATCTTCGGACATGGCCCCATCTTGCCGCCCCATCTTGTGGGTAAACTTGGTCCAAACTGGCCCCAACTTCCAATTTGACCCCAAGTTGGCTTCAGCTTGGCAGAACTCAGCCCCAGAGTTCAACCCCAACCTCGGCTCAACTTCAAGCCACATTGGCGCCAACTATATACGGCCAGGTGTTTTTTGACGTTTGCTGCTTGGGCCCCGATTGAACCCAACATACTGCCACCTTGGCATCGGTGCAACACTTTTTCGGGCCATGTTCCCCGTGCTGAGTCCATATTAGCATCAACTTGAGCCCAAGGTGGACCCAAACAGACCCAAGGCGCATCATGTTGGGCCCAACGTGGCCAAGGGGCCCAAGAAAAGTATTATAAGCCCATAGGCCCATAGGGAGAAAAAAAATACAATTCGATGATGCAACCTGGGTCAGTCTGGATCAACTTGGGCACAAATTGATGCTAACAAACGCCGAGGACAAGTGCACCAAAGCGGATATTTTGGAGGTTTTGGATTTTGGACTGCTTCGCTGCATTTCTATGAACCCGCCGCTTCACGATTCTGTTGTGGGCGGTTGTTCCCGCAGAAAGGAGGATGGGCTCATCTCCAGGTCTTGGGGTCAGGTTGGGGCCATCAGAGGGCCAAGTGACCCCAAGAGGAGCCCATGTTCGAAAGATGTTGCCCCGAAACGTCCAACACAGCCGATTTTACCAGTGGCTTTCCACTTTTTTGGGGCCGGGAGCTCTAACTGAGCACTACATCACATGCTATTAGGCCAGCACTAACAACACGAAGTGATTACACCTGTGCACCTTCGGTGCGGGCGGATTTGTAAGGCACCTTGATCCCATGGAAGTCTCTGGGGAACCCAACGCTTGAGGTGAGCAGCGCTGGGAAACCACCTTTGCTAGACATTCTCACACTGTCACACTCAATTTGGCAGAACGGGCTAAGTCAGCAAGACAGTGCATCGATCAAGCTCTCAAACTGACGAAGATTTGCACATGCCAGCCTCCTGCACAGCATGCAAGGAATCCGGGTCCGTGCACCTTCCATGCAGGTATATGCAGCTAACGGAAACGACTGAATCTCATTCCGAATATTCCGATACCTAGTTGCAGGTAGCAAAAGCGACAGGTGCTGGTCAGTCTGACTGCCCAGAGTGGGTTCCTGACCTTTAGTGACAGTGGCTGTGACCTTGGTGGAGGCCTCAAACAGCTTCGCAAAAGCTTGCGTACTGAAACCAAACACACGAAGTCAATCTACAACAAAGCATCGAACATCCTTTACACCAATGGTCTGAGCCGCCATGGCTCTTACTTGCTGCGGTAAAATTGCCAGGGTCTCCTATTGCTGTCATCTGTCAGTATTTCAGGTACGGTGTTGTTGCATGCCATGCATAGACATTCTGGCGGTGTGGTACATATTTAAACACCAATCATCACATGAAGGCTCTGCTTGCATTTAACTCTGGGGCCTTCAAAGAAAGCTCCGACAAGTATGACGAAAAGACCCACTAGACTAGACACTACTAGACACTAGGTACAAATTTCTAGACATTAGACTCATTAGACTCACTAGACTCTAGAGGTTGCAATAGGTTGCATGATGCAACAAAACTATTTTGGTCCGTGCGATTAGGCGAGTCAAAGTTTGCGAGGCTTGGCTTAGTCAGGGCCAAGCCAATCGATCAGAGACTAGCAACAATACATGTTGACGCAAATCTGAGACTTGCCAGAGCTGATGGGGCCAGCTTCAGGGGTTGAACACGTCCTCCAAGTTTGTTGGAAAATAAGTTCTGCTTTATTGTGCTCTGCATAAAGACTTCTCTGTCCCGCACAGGGGGTGAAACAATTGGCCCAACGCATGCGACACGGCAATGTGCAAGAGTGGTGATTTGTCTATTTAGAAACCACTGAACAGAAACCACTGATGTAGAACAGGTGCAAGAATACTTTTCTTAGGATTCGCTTGATATCGCCATGTTCACATGAGCGTGTTCGTTTTTGGCCATGGGAGTAATTAGGCTGCGGGTGTTTCATCATCTGGTTTGCGCGCCTCAGTCGTTTGATTTGACATCAAAGACCAGTGGATCCAGTGGTAAAGAGAAGATAGTGCCATACCGTGGCAAACAGCTCTAATTACATGGTGTGTAGGAAAGTCACTGTTGTCTGTAAGTCTTTAAAAGGATGACTACCTCGTTTGAATTCACCATAACTACAACCAAGTGCTTAGACCATGATATACATGCATGAGAGTGACACAGCAGTTCTGCAAGTCTAGCCACGACCAAAGTCTCAAAGATTGACATGGTAGGAGGCATCTGAGATGCCTGATCTCTTGTTATATTATTCATACTGGTTCTTGATCTTGGGTGACCATCTGTCAGTACACCATCGCGTGCAGGGTCAAATTGCATCAATAGAAAAGAAGCACAGGTGCATCATTATGGATCTCTTTCAAGCATATTCCATATGCTGTAAAACCCAGTATGACTTCAACACCTCACGTCGTGGCTAACTTGGGATCCAGGTTGAAGTGAACAGTCTTATCCAGGTTTGAACAATTCTGTGGCACTTGACAGCTGCCTGGGCTTCCAGCTGTGCGCTTGACTCCCCGAGAAGCCTGTTCAGTTGCTGTTGAAACAGGCAGTTGGAGAAGTCTAATTCTTGAGCCAAGTCCAATAAGGCTTAGCACCTTCAAAAGCTCGAGAACCAGTGGATGCTGGTTTGCAATGATCTCCTGTGGAAAGACTCAGATCCTTTCTGCACAGCTAGACTCTTGCTGAAGGTGTTCCATATGAATGTATTGTCTGTCATGAAGATGCAGTCCTCCAAGTTTGCTGTATGTTGGAGAACTTCTTTCCAGTGCTCCTCCAGAAAATCCCAGCAGGCTGCCTGTCAGCACACGTTTTGAATCGTCACAAAAAATCATAATCTTCATCTTCTGTTTGATCTTGTGATTCATATCGTCCCACTCGGGATACTCGGGAGCTGAGTTGGCAAGGCACCGCAAATCTTGCCTCTAGGTTGAAGAGGGTCGGCCGCCGTGGGCTCTTGATCTAGGATGGCATATTACATCATGCTACATTACAATGTCAACAATTAATTACCTGTGTTTCAACCTGTTCAGAGCCTCTCTGGGTTTGTGCGACTCGCTTCAAGAAAGCCTTCCTTGCAAAACAGCAAGAACTTGCGGCCCCAACGCTGGCAAGTACCGGAATCACAGTGGCACTTCTCAGGGTACACTCAGACAGAAAGACCTAGTCAAGTCTGAGAGGAAAGTTGAGCTATATATCTGCACTTCTCCTTTGATCCTTCCCTATCGTTGCTTTCTCATCTTTCTTTCTGTACAGATTCTCTTCTCGTGAATTTGGATTGATCTAGAGAACTTGGCGTTTGGATTGCGCGAACCTCACAAAGCCGAGCTAGCCGTGGAAGGAGGAAGCGATCAGCTAGAGTAAAGACCTGCGATGGTGACATCCCGTTGGCAGTCCGCTGATTTTGAAGGTTCCATGTCGTTTAATCCTATGACCTATGCAGTCATCGTGCAGGCAGGATAGCAAGCTGTCTTAAGTTTTGTCGCAGCTGTCTGTCAGCGTCAGTCGTCGTCGTCATCTCTCCTGGAGCAGTGGAATGGAGACTGTCTGCCTTCGGGGCTGTACTATGTTGTACACTTCTGGACATTTACTGGAGAAAAAATGTATATATGCATCATTCATACAGGCAAGGATTTTAGTATGGGTCCTTTTTCCCTTCCCTTTTCCTTTGCCTTTCCATCTGGGGGCATCATCCTGGCAAAGAACCGGAGGCTGTTCTAATGGCATGTGCATTGGACAGTTTGGAATTGTTCCAACCATCAAATGAGAGGCTCAAGAGGCGTGCTTCCAAGTTCGACTTTAGGCGACACATAGCATTGCTCCTGCAGATTGGCTTCTTCTGGGTCTGGCCTTGGTTTCGACTTGAAAGCAAGTCTTTGTAACAAGAAGCTACTAGGGGCTCCTGGCATCACTGCTAGGAGCAAGGACGCTACTAGGGGCTCCTGGCCGTACTACTAGGAGCAAGGACACTACTATTTGCAGGTTCACAATAGTCATGATGCGAGACTATCTGCAGCTTCGATGCAGTTTGTCATGTCCCATTCGTGGTCGGAGGCACTAGCATGAGTGGATATGAAAGCAACAAAAGAGCATCAATCGCCCCAAGTCACTCCATCAATTGAGCCTGTTTGTACGATCACAGTCGGACTGCAACCAGGCTACTCATTGAGGATCTCGTTGCATTTCTGCCACTTGGCCCACCTGGACATAGAAATTACGCGTCGAAGCTGTTTTCAGGCAGGAGACGCTTCAGGTAGAGGAGGGCCGCTAAGAGGATCTCAGAGGTAGGCTATAAAGGCTACCAGCTAACGCATCACAGCACTAGTAGGTAGTGCTAAAGCTCACGCTTTGCATGATTGATTTGGTTCGGAGTCTTGGGAAACTTGACCATCTCTTCGTGGCTGCCTTGCCTTCCTTTCTTTTGCTCATTGGCCCTCATCAGGCCAAGCATGCCACCCCTGCACACAAATGCACCTAAAAGAATAAGTTATGGGGATTGAAAGGCCATCCCCCCACCTGTCGGTGAACTGTGCATCCGGTATGTCCTGGCCGCAGACAGGGGGTGGCAAGTTCTTTGAGAAGGCCTAATATCAACAAATCCTCCAGGCAAGCTAGAACGTTTGTTGGGTGGGTATGTCATTATGACTCAAAATATGGGCCACTGATCACAGGTGTTGAGCTCTATTTCTCACCACGTCTTCTGCAGTACATGAGCAGCAAGCCCTCTGCGAGGAAAGAAAGTCTGCATCATGCAGCCATTCGCAATCTGATTTAACATCTTCAACCTGATCAAAAAACAGAACGCGTTGACAGAAAAACTGGTGGTGTTCGGCAGGTCTCTTGGAGACCTCCGGTTTCTTGAAGTTCATTGAGTGCCGTGATAAATCAATCAGTCCATCTGTCTGTCTGTAAGGAGAACTGGGTGCTCACAATTGGCATTGCCACTGGCACTGACGAAAAAATTACTTCATCAAAGTTAGCTCTCTTCGCAAAGGAATGCTCCCACCCAGCTCGTCCAGGAGCAGTTCTGCCTCCCAATGATTCAATGATACAGTGGCAAAGGCGTGTCTCGTATCCATATCTGGGCTTTCAAGTCCAAACGTACGACTCCATATTTAGTGTATATACTAAAAATCTGGCAAGCATACGAAAGATGAAAGCATTGAATCTGCGCATCGCTGCAACTTTGGGTGCACTTCCAGATTTGACGTGTAAGCACAGGTCCTCCTCATTTTCTTCAACAAGATTAAGCAATGCTCGTGCAGCTTCCCGTCTTTCAACACATGAACCTAAGAAGAGCTTTTGAACATACAAAGAGCGTGCGAGCGGGGCTGTTCCAACTTGGAACTTGAGGAGATTGTGCAGACAGTCAGCCAACATATCAAAACACATACAAAGGTAGAACAGGGGGACAATGCAGTTACAAGAAGTGGTTGTTGATGGCTCGGCTCTTGATCTCCTAGAAGCCAACATGACATGTTGCAAATTAAACACAACTATAAAAAGCGCCGCTGTGGTTTGGATACAAGCTGCCAGTCCGAAGCTGCGTCACCAGGGGCTGCATTGCATCAGCTTCAACAATTGCCTGTCCAAAACAGGAGCGTATCACAACAACCAAGGAACCGAACATGTATGAACATGTGCCTTGGGAGTGCTTCAATGAAGACCAAAGCACAACCTTGCAGGAACCCTTCCCTTATATACCCGTGATTGGCATTAAAGGGTCTCGTCACACCTGCTGATTGTCCAGATTGAACTTCGCCAAAGACCCCAAGGCAATGATGGCTGGCCGACGCAAGGCAGCATCACATGGCAGCGCCTTGGAGGGAGGCGTCACAAGAACAAGAAGAGATTGAGCTGGGCATGGACAAATCCATGCCAAGTTGGTGTCGGGGATACAACCAATGGAATCGCTTTCACAAAGCGTTACGACTCCAAACTGTCCAGGGAAAGCTTTTGAAGGCTTGCCTCCACCAAGGCTTGGATGGCTCCAGCCTCTGCAAATGCACTCTGAGCTGGCTCGTAGTCGTTCGTGACGCGAGAAATCGTCATCATTGCCTACATTCCACTCAAGAGAAATCCTCTCTTTAAATTTTAGTCGGTCCTGATCTGTCCCGATCATGAATTCCAGGACAAACATTACAAACTAGCAAAACTAGCAGTGAATACAAAACCTTTGTACAGAATTTCTCCTGGTACAAGTGGCATTTATGCGCTCGGCCAAGGTTCCTGAGTTCAGGAGAAACATCAAAGTTTCGACGGCATTTTGCTCCTCGAACTCATCCAAAATGGCCTCCTGATTCTCTGCATGGTCTTCTGCGAGGCGAGCTAAGCAAAAGGCTGCATCGATCCGATCCCCTTCGATGGCAGAAGCAAGATGCTGTACCAGTGGAGCTATTGCTCCTTCTAAACGTATCGCTGTTTGATGCTTCTCAATTCCTTCAGCAATCGTAGCCAACGCATAGGCAGCAGAGCCAAAGTCACCGTCAGTCGAACCACTGAGCTGCTGCACTAAGTGAGGTAGCGTGCCGAGCTTCAGAAGTGCTGCTTGGTGCCGCGGATTTCGATTGGCCAAGTGCGCCAAGGCAAAGGTTGCCTGATTTCTTTCGATCGCCTTGCTGCTTTTCAACAACTTTGCTAATGCTGGAAGGCCTGAAGCACCAACAATCTCTTGAAGCTTTGCGTTGCCTTTGGCAATGTGCCCTAAGGCCGTAGATGCATTTGCCTTTTCCGCGCTGGTGGCCGTGTTGTTGCCCAGCAATTGAATCAGTGGCTTTATTCCATTCATTTTGGCCAAGGAGATCGGATAGAGGTGGTGCTCATCCATCAAACCTGCCAGCCTCTCCACCGCATCACCCCTCTTTGTGACATCCTTTGAGCTCAAGTCCTTCACGGAGGGCTCCAAAATCTTCACGACGTCCATATCATCCGAGGTCGAAGGTAGCAGGAGTCTGAAACTTGAGACTTCGAACACTGTTGATATCAGGGGTTGATATTGGTTGATTGATTATTCTATGCATTTCTATGCTTGATTACACCCTTTTTGAGTTTGGTTTAGTGTTTGATCCATTGAGAATGACTTGAGATAAACTGCGGCAAATTGGCCATCGATGGTAAGGGTGCTCTGGCACGCAACCTTCCGAAGACTCCATAATGATTCGCTGCTGAACCCTCTCGCCTTGCTGCGAGCTGTAACTTTCTTCTTCTTCTTCTCAGCCTGGCAAGAAGGAACCATGTGACCTCACATCATATGACTATTTTGCCAAATGCCGAGGCATGGTGCGCCATGTTGTTACTCCGTTTGCACCTGCTTGTCAATGGTCGAGCCAGCAGGTGGGTCAAACTGCGATTTGCCAAGTTTTTCATTCACCTGTGACAAACTGAGCCATGAACTTGGACCTTTACCATGCACCGAAATGGCACAAAGACTTTGTCGATAAGCGGCCACAAACAATGTCAAGTCAAATCACACATTTGCTAGCTTGCTACCCTGCTTACATCCTGAGAGGCTGGCATAGTAGACCTTCCCTGTGCTCCTTGCCAACTTAGAAAGTTATAGAAAACAGTGATGAAAACCACAACATGTGCAAATGGGTTGACCTACTAGTACGGAATGTCCGTCAAGAAAAACCTCCATCATTCATTCGAGATATGGTACACCCTTCAAATCAAAACCGACACTTACTACAACATAATGCAAAGATCGATCTCAACTCAAATGGCCGCAAAACAAAAAACCTTTGCATGCTCAACAACCACTGCAAAATAGATCGTCGACTCTGTATGTATGTTTCTTGACATTGGCCAAGGCTGTGGCCGTGACTTGCGCATTTCCCACCCAGGCGGCAGTTGCCTTTGTAAGCCCTGCCGCATTGCCAGTTTGGGGGAGAAACTTAACGAACTGAACAAGTTTCGCATGTCGTGTGGAGTTAGGATGGTCTCGCGGCGCGTTTTAAAATAGGCAAGAAAAAATAGCAGCAGCCCTGTCAAGCCTGTGTGACGCCTCCACCAGTAATCTGTGCTGGTTGGGAAGGCCTCAGTCTGCCATGTCCTTCTCGAAAACGTCCAATGGACGTGTGAAAGTTTGAGAAAGTCTGAGAACCAGCTTTTCAGAAGCATCCGGAGCCTGTGGCGAGTAGTGTAAAATGCAAAATCTGTGCATCACCACAGGGCCTTGGGTGCCACAGTGACCGCATCGTAGCCTTGTCACGGATTGAATCAGACCATGCAACTGATCTACACGTCAGCTGACAATCAGCCACAAGCACATCGACAGCCTGCATAGATTGTCACAGCCCCTCCGTTCTTGATTGCCTTGTTGGAAGCCTTGGAAATGGAGAGTGGACTGGAAAAAGACTTCTTTCTCTCTCCCTCACTCTCATGTCTTGGTGCACTGCATGTGAGTGTCAGTGTCAACAGCCCTGAAGGCTTTTCTGAATACAGTAGACCAAGCCGCGCCGAGCGCTAAGCAACCGCGAAACGTACTGATTTGTGGCGAGTGACCAATCCTTCAACGCCTTTCTTCCTCTTCTTTACCTCCGGCTTCTCTCGCGGTGGTGAACCAGGCGGGGCCTGGACAGGAATGCAGTGGTTTTTCGTCAAAGTCTGATGTAATGTCAGCCAGCCTTCTGGTAGCCAACACAATCAACCCTATATGAGTGCATGAATAAATAATGAAGAGAGGCTCTCTAGACAAATCGGCCAGTGTTGGAACAATGTCAACTCATTCAACACCATCCAAACCCACTGGACACCCAGAAGTGCCTTGGCAACAATCTCAGGCCTCAGGCTGAATTGTGAAAGTGAGTGTAGAATCTACCAGCCAAAATTCAGAGTTCCTCGCAAAGCATGTTGCAGGGCTGGCACACACCCTCCTTTGCAAACTATTCAAGAAGCAACTACAAACCATCCTCAAACAACTCTCAAAACCACACCCCTAAGGTGGCCACGGTGAAGCAGACTCCTTGGCAGTCGTGTGATGTGTCTGAGAGAGCTACCAGGTGGCTTCTCCAAACCCACACCACACTTCGATGGAGCTGCGTATCTCTTTTGCATCCTGCCCAGCTTGTACTTTGCCTCCGATCAAGGAGATTGACTATCGCTTGCAAGGATCTTCAGTATGTCTCGATTGATTCAACCTCAAGCTCAAAGTTGCCCGCGTTGAAATTGGGATTTAAAGCGCCATCGTATCCAAATTTGCTGAGCGTTAATTGAATTGCCGTGAGCTGCTCTTTGTTGAACACTTGATTCGGAACACGTCGCGCAAATAGAGTTGGCACAAACTCTGTAAACGGAGCAGAGGCTTCAACCAGGCCATCAAGTGAAGGAACCAAGCTCTGAGTATCAAATTCATAGCTCCACGCAATTCCATTCCAGTCGTAAGAATCTCGGATAATGAGTTTAAACCGTTGCCCGTTTCCGCCTTTCACGCGGATCTTCAATCCTGTACACGAGGCCACATCAAAGGCGGGTTTGATGGGCTGAGTTCGAATTCCAGCAAATCCTCCCCCTTCGGTCACAATAGTACCCTTCCACTTGGTACCAGTCAGGAAAGACTCAGAGGCACCTCCCATGACAACATCGTCCAAAGGTCCCCACACCAAGCTCTTTGGGTTCTTGCTAGACCACAAAGTCTCGCCCGGCGGGATCTTGGTAGAGCCACCAGGGCTGAAAATGCTTAAAGGATTTGGAAGAGCTCCAAAGAATGCGGCCTCAGGTTGCAAGCGCATTTACAATCCACTCGAGTTTTGAGTTGATTCAGGGAAAAGCATACATTGACAGGAATACCATCATGAATCTGTGGTTTGGCCATGTATCAGTGCGCAAAGCACGGAAGCCGTCCCAAGGTGGCCGGCTGTCAGGCTCTGCTCGAAGAAGGCTTCTCCTCATGGCAACAGCATAGTTCATTAAACGCAGGAATGTAAGTATGTATGCAAATCTGCAAGTGAGTGTGTATGTAAGTAAGTATGCAAGTAAGTATTTGTGCAAGTAAAGTAAAGACAGTAAGTAAGTCAGTCAGTCAGTCAGCAAGGAAGCAAGGAAGGAAGCAAGCAAGCAAGCAAGGAAGGAAGGAACGAGGGAGTTAAAGTAAGTAGAGTAAAGTGAAGTTAAATAAACAAGTAAGTAAGTAGGTAGGTAGGTAGGTAGGCAAGCAAGTAAGGATGTCTGTGTGTATGCCAAGTAAACTACAGCATACAAATATATTATAATATATATATATATTATATATTATACTATACTATATTATATTATATAATGCATATATTGTATATATATTATATATAGTATAATATATATAATATATATAAGCACACACTATTATATATTATATACTATATATTATATGTTATATGTTTATATTGTTATATATATAATATAAACACACACTATTCTTCAAGCCTGTCTGTCAGGTCGTGTCTATTAGCAGCTCAGCGGCAGGAATGTTTTGCTGTCTAATAATAACCGGTCATCACGTTAAACCAAAATATCTGGAACAAAACCAAAAAAAACAGTTAACTATCCGTGGCTGCATGTTCGATTAACAGAACCCCTCATCCTTGTACATCCTTGTCAGGCGGGGCTCCTCGAACAATCTCCCACACTGGTGCCAACAAAGACCTTGCCGCAAAGTGGGACAGCTGCGATGAATACTGGCCACCACGCGCCTCAGAGCAAATCCGCTGCCTGATGGATTTCTGTGAGCCGGCTCTATGTATTAATTCTATTTAATTCTAGTCTTGTGGCGGTTAAGTGACGCCGAACACGAGAAGAGGGCGAGCAGCGAATAGCCATGGCTGCTTTGACAAAATGACACAAAAATGCCAATATACATTGCTGCGACTGAACTGTTCATCGTTCGTTTGAGAGCAATCCCGCGTAGTCGCCGGAACCCTTCGAAGTTTGCTTCTGAGACATTGCCAAGCAAACAATATGGTTTTCTTCATTCATGTATTCATGCCACATCTAACATGATTCTAAACTGATGAGACAGCAGCTTGATGGCAAGAATGGTTTTACTGCCAGGCTTTGCGCGCTCTCAAGACACACATGAAAGCTGAGCAGGGTGCCACATTTGCCCCTGGCAGCAGGTTTCATGACGTGGGTTCAAAAAGCCTATTGAGCACAATGAACGACAAGACTCATTGCCGGCCTTCCGACAAGTTCTCCACGAAAGCCTGACCGACGTAGCGTAGCGTAGAGCTTTGCTCAAATGCGTGCATTCTGCACTACAAAAGAGAACAGAAAGGAAGGTAAGACAACTTGAATGGGAACTTTGTTCAAATCTGCTTTGTTCAAACGCAGGGCTTTACTGCGCAGCGCGTCTTCCCTAATAGAGCCGTGGCCACCCGCACCGAGAGTCCGGCAGAAGGCTCCATGCCAGGTGGAAAACCAAGCCTCAGCGCCCCAGTGCTCTTGTTGTGAAAACACTGAGCACCTTGGGACATGATGATGAACTCATATTGTTCAGCCTTCTTGTCAATAGTAGTGGATGTAGGGGGTACTCTTGAAACACGTTTGCGCAAGTTATGTCTGAAGCACGCTTTTACACCGCGAGTGAACTCTAGCCAAACTCAAGTTTGCTGTGAGGAACCCGAAGTCTCCTGGAAGAAATGGATACAAGAGTCCAAGCTGCTGCTCGTGCCCGAAATCCAACACGACTTTCCCGATCTACCAGCTCGCCTGGGGATCTTGATACATCAAGCTGTTGACCTCGAGCTGTTGACTGCGGTCACTCGTGGTAGAAGGCGCGCGTCCAGAAGGGGCATACCTTCGCGCAACTCACCTGCAAGGACTAACAGTGAAAACGCGTAAGAATGGAACGTCCGGTACGAAGACCGTGAACAATGAAAAAGGCGGGCGGTAGCGGAAGGGTGGTGACCGAACAACAAACAAGTAGGAATGAAAAACGCAGAGCGGAGCATCTAAGAGAGGCAGTTGAAAATCAAACCGACAGACACACGAGAACAGCGTGCTTGAGGGGGGGAAGGAAGGGTGAACAAAAGGAGGACCAACAGTCAGAGGCAGCTGAGATGAAAGGGAAGGGAAGAAGCGAAACAAGTGAACCAGAGAAGAAAGGGAGCCTCCTGAGGGACGGCCCCCTTGGAGAACAGCTTCAAAAGAAAGAAGGTAGAGAAATACCCGACGACGACAAGTCCGAAACTGAGCCGGAGAGACAGCATGTCGGGAGATGAAAAAATCGATCGAAGAGAACCGATGAAAGACGACCGAAACCACGCGGCATCGCGTCAGGGGCGCGAGCGCGCATCGCGGGCGGACCCGTAACCGTTACCATCGCGGGACTGGGGCTACGCGCGCGGCCCTCACTGACACCTTTGGCAGATGGGTCCGGGAGACCCAGCTCTTGAAGCATGTTGCTGCACCTTGATAGCGCCATCTGAGATGCTCAGGCAAGGCCACAACGAAGGCCAAACTCCGGACACGCGTTCTAGATAGTGGCGCCAGAGACCGTTGCCCGCGCCAGGGCGGGCGGTAGAGCCGAAGCTAAAAGTTGGCGCCAGCCTTGGATCTCCATTCCACGGCACGTTCTACTGCCGCCACAGATCCGAATGAATTACCACCGCCCATCAAAGCCTTCTTGGAAGCATGGCTTCCTGTGTAGTTTCTTTGAACCAGCTTCTCGGTTGTCCAGCGCCGCTGTCAGAACCTGGTCGGCCATGCGCACGAGAGGCGCTTATTCTTCTGAGTATCATTGGCGGCCGGGCGACAGCCAACGTGTCCGCGGGCGCTCAGGCACTTCGCTCCTTGAGATGAGGCTTCACCCGTCTCCCTGTTTCACACGCCGAGGCCGCCGAGGGTTCTTTAACTTTTAAAACCATCAGCGATGGTTCGCCTTACTGTCGTCGGCCCACCATGTTGTGTGGCACGAGCCTATAAGCTGTGCGCCACCGGCCTTGATCAAATTTCAATCGTCTTTCCACTGGAGCTAGAGTGATGCCACCACCATGTTCTTTTCATTGGAGAAGGAACCAGCCCTGAACGACGTCCGGGGGTCCCTGCTCTGGGTTGATGATCTTCGTTGAGGCCAGGTTCTGTGGGACTGGGATTGCTTGACATAGTTGAACAAGTTGAGCAACCCCACTGTAGTAGAGTCTGCGAGCCTCCCTTGCGAAAGACGATGCAGACACGTCACTTTGACAATATGGATCGTCACGCGGCGCGCGGTGCCTGATAATTCGTTCTCTGACTGTGACAACACTCCTAGATCGGCTTTCGGAGCTGCAAGTGCAATTGACAAATTGCATATAGCTTAGGAAAAGGTATAGTATAATGTATATACATATCAGGTATATGTTAACTTTACATTCAATTCCCATACCTGAATGATCCTGATTCATCGTACCGCCATTGCATCACCCGCTACGTTGTCGTACGCACAAAATCACCTTGCACCCATGCTGATCGTATTGAACCTAAAGGATTCTCGGAAAATACCTGGGCCGGAGTCTCGAGGCTCAGACTCAACCAAGACATACGATTCAATTTGTCAATGCTCCATAACTACATACAGAGAAGATGTTTGCAAGCGCTACAAGTTGCTGCGCCGCTCAAAATCAAAACAAACTCACGCGCGATTTTCAGGTTTTCTCTGGCTTGCTTTGCGATGAGGTGCGGACGGTGGCATTGCCTCCATGAAAGGCATCCTCAATGAAGTGACGTGGAACTGATCTTGGCAAAAGTGCTTTGTACTCGTCATCTGTACAGTATATGGTTTACTGCCACTCTTCTGAGAGTTTCACGTTTCACGTCCCATTTCCATTCGACAGTTGTTGCCATCGCTTTCCGTTACAATATCTTAGGGCGCAGTTTGACATCACAGAAAGTTGTGTGAAGAAACAGCCGAGTTGCAGAAAGATCGAACCATCTCATCGCAAACGCTGCAACAAAAAGCAGCCAGCGCTGAGCCCGCTCACAAGTATTTGAGTGGAGCGCTGTTGCGGTTAGCAAGGGGCGCAGGACAAGCCGCGAATCGAACCGCACTGGCAGGTGTTGCATAAGGGGGACAGAACAGAGTCAGGGCTGCATCACGACTTTCACCACCTAGCGCTGTGCGCCAACTAAGCCGGATGGGTATCTGAAGCACGATGGAAGAAATGCCGGAAGTGAAACCTGACTAAGAAAAACTGGAACCGGCCAGCATCAATGGTGTTTCCACGTCTCCACCTGCCTTTTTGCAACACCAGTTCAAGCTCACGAAGAAATCTCACGAAGCACTTCTGCAGTTCTCTTACAATCGCTAAGCGGATCGCAGGTGCAAAAGCAACGACAAGCAATAGGGTCGAACACGGGATGGTTCGCTGCCGGGCCCGGATGGCTCCCGAGTGCAAATTTGGTTGCCCCCAGGGCTCGAGGGTTCAGCTGCCTTGCTCCTCTCCTCTCCTCTCCTCTCCTCGTCCTCGTCAACCGCAAGTGTTTGCTGGCAGTGTGTTCCCTGGCGGACCTCAACTGCGAGTCAGAAGATATGTGCCAGATAGAGTGCCAGAATGAATGTCAGAAGGGATGCCAGAAAGAATGTCAGAAGCTATGCCAGCAAGCATGTCAGAAGATATGCCAGAGAGATTGTCAGAAGAGGCGCCAGATAGAATGTCAGGAGATATGCCAGATTGCAAGAAAGCATGTCAGAAGAGATGCCAGAAAGAATGTCAGAAGATATGCAGAAAAAATGTGTCAGAAGTTATGCCAGAAAAAGATGAAGTTTTTTTCCGGTAATTTGTTTCAGGCTTTTTCCGGGAATTCTTTTCACATGTTTTCCCCTACTGCTTTTGCTTTTGCTTCTGCTGGGAGTGCTTTACAAGCACTAGGAGCTGCAGAAAGGGCAGGGGACGAAGCACCAGCCAGCGTGACAGAGAGAGCGAGACAGTGACAAAGGGAGGGAACAGAAAAGGCATCCCACTTACTATAGGGACTTCTTTGCGGTTGTCTTAGGGCTTCACTCTGGTTTCGGGTTTCTTTGGGCTTGGTTTCTTGCCTTGAGGGTTTCTTTAGGCGGAAGCAAAAGCAAAGCAGAAAGCAAAAGCAGAAGCAAAAGCAGAAGCAAAAAGCAAAAGCAGAAGCAAAAAACAAAAGCAAAAGCAGAAGCAGAAGCAAAAGGAGAAGCAAAAAGCGAAAGCAAAAGCAAAAAGCAAAAAGCAAAAAGCGAAAGCAAAAGCAGTAGGGCAAAAAAAAGCGAACAAAATTCACGAAAAAATAAACAAAAAAACAGAGAAATACCGGTTCCCCGAAAAATGTCAGAAATAGTGTCAGAAGATATGCCAGAAAGAATGCCGAAATAATGTTTCAATACATGCCAGAAAATTTGTCAGATTGAAATGTCATGGTGGGGATCACTCGAAGTACAGTAATTTTAATAATTAGCCCGAAGCAACTTAAGTAAGCAGGCGCCAAATGACTTAATTAAGTAAGGGAGAAGTTCGCTCCTAGTTATATAGCTTCTAGTAACTGGACGCAGGACAGCTCGCACTTCTTCAAAGAAGCGTTCGCACTAATCTTTTGGTTCCTAGATTCTTAGGGAAACTTAACTCGCTTTCGGGAGACCAACCGCGGCTTATTCCCCACGAATTCCACAAATCACAGCATTGCCATCCTCTAATTTCGGATGGTTCAGAAGCTGCTCACATTGTAACGATTTATTAATCATGTACCTGCATGATAGATATATCTTCATGCTTTGCCTCAAAAGCCCAAGTGCGGCGCCCAACTGGTGGGAATCCAGGCGGCAATCCTTTGTATGCCGTTCGAATCTGAACACCTTGAAGCCTAGGAGCAAGAAGCTACTAGGAACAAAGGGCATCTCTGGTAGGAGCAAGGATGCTACTAGGGGCTCCTGGCATCGCTACTAGGAGCAAGGACGCTACTAGGAACAAAGGGCATCGCTACTAGGAGCAAGGACGCTATTTCGATCAGGTCCTGCTGGCGGACCTGGTGGGTCTGAAGCCTCGCCACCAAAAGGCCTCCAGACCAGCTCTGGCTTGAACATCTGCAGCTAGTTGGAGCGAAGCTCCCACGACAAAATGCCAAGAACAAAACCAACCCCAACCCCAAAGACCACTAGAGCACCAAAGAAAGCCCATGATCACAACTCAAATCACTCTATGAAGGGAATGGTCTGTCCACTGGCAGTGTGATGACAACTTTTACTTGGGATTCGTTGTGTCAAGAGTCCAGTTGCCTGTGTCGTGCTTGGGCTCTGGGGCCAAGGCATACCGGGCGGTGGTCCTGGTGGTGCCATGTCCTCAACAAAGCAGATCAACTGCAGTGTCGGTTTATCGTTGCTGGGTAGCAGTTGCAAATCAAGCTGTGACATTATTCATTTCCTGAACTATGTAAGCTTGGACAGCAAATAAACAAAGTGAGACACGGGCAAGCATTGGTTCAAAGGAACCTGAATGCATTTGAACAGATTGTAGATGCAAGAACCGTGATGTGAAAGCCAGTGCCGCCACCAGCCAGGTGCCTCCACCAGGAGGCAATTTGTTCAAGCTCCTGGTCAACACGTTCGCACCAGTAGACTACAGCAGTGACTATGCTATACAAGGCCGTTCCGATAAATGAACGATGGATGCTGAAACCACAATGTGAAGTCAAATCCAAGAAATTCCTTTTGCTTTGGGATACGACATTGGAGATGAGATGAGGTGGTATGACTGCGGGAACAAGAAGGAGGGGGATATGTCTTGGTAGCAGCACCCCAAAGGTGCAGTTTCCACGCGGAGAATCCACACAGTTTGAAGTGAAACGGAGCTTGGCATGTTGAAAAGCCTTCGCTCTGCTCCACATTTGGCTGTGGCCCCGAACCCACCCAATGGACCGAAGAAAGCGGGTGCTGGAGGGGCAGAAGGCCTCTGCAGTGTCACAAGGCGCGTGGCATCGGAAGTCTCCATCTCGACAGTCAGCTCAACTCTGAGACCACAGCCGCTCCAGCATAGCAGCTTGGGCCTGAGGATGTGCTCATCATCGAAACAAAACAACTGATACTTAGCTGTGTGGGGTATTTCGGTGTTCCCCCTTGAAAAAAACGCGACAACTGGCAGACTGTTGATGCTTGGATGGTCCGAGCATTTGTCAACTTCAATCTCATGGCAATGTCAGGAACGCCGTGTGTTTCAGCAGAGTAAGGTGCAGACAACCAAGTCGCTGGGTGGAAACAGCAAGCCTACACGGAGAGTCTTGGTCTGAGTCTTTCAAGCTGAAGAAACAGTCCGCAAGAGCAAAGTAGTTGGGTGGCACAGGCAGCAGATCATGAAGCGGAATGAAAACTAGCTATATATATATATATATAGTATGTGTGTGTGTGCAAAGTCATGTGTCGACTCTGTCGACAAGTTCAAAGCCATGTTTGCATTGAAAGGAGTGCATCATGCCATGTGGAACAAATGTCGGCCACTGAGTAGGTGTGAAGGGAGCTGGAGGAATGTCAATCAAGCATAAGGAGCCAGTACTATATACTTGGATACAAGTAAATTCAAGACAAATCTCTGACGCCTCCACTAGGGGCTAGTGGACCGTGTGGCGGTGCAGAGGGAGCCACCTGACAAAACAAGCTTTATGAAGTGGACATAAGTGTAGAGGTTTGATCCAAAGGACAGATTGCAAAGCCATGCAATGACAACCACCAAAGAAGGGTAGTTGCACAAATGTGTTTGCTCTATTGTTCAACTCCAAAGCATGGTTGCAGGGGCTGGCGCCTTTGCAAAGGCTGGTGCTGCCTTGGATACGGCCCTTAGATAGCGTTGGATGCAGGAGCAACCAAGTGCATGAAAACGCAATCCGTTCAACTGAGCCAACGGCCCAGATGGCTGCATGTTGTCTGTCCTGATGATAAGTTGAAACTCACGATAGCACCGCGCAGAGTGGAAGAGATATTGCATGGATCCACACGCACATCAAGCACCATGCAACAGCAGTAAAATATAAGCCATTATAAACGTATTACAATTAAGGGAAAGATGTGAGGAATGTTGCTATAGTAATATGTTGCGCATGGTCTACGAAGCCCTGAACACTGCTCAGCCTTTGTCACGAAGGAGCGACTGACTGAAGATTGAAGACTCAATGGACATGCGTAGTAACGGTGTAGTATATAAACGCAGCATCAAGCAGGGTAACTAATTCAGGTATAGAAGTGTGAGAATATCCAGCAAGTCTCGATGACACACGACAGACTCGACTGCGACTGTTGCTTCGAAGATTGAAATAGATCAAACACGCTCTGGTTCAGTAAAAATAGACCCCAAGTGGAGTGTTTGAAATGACATACAATCTGGGCACACGCCCAATGAGAGTGACAGGAAACTTGCCATGAACCCCTGAACAAGTTATTGGTATCATGGTCCACTGTTTGCAAGTGGCAAGTTGGTGCAAAGTCAACAAGAAGGCTTGCGTGCAAACGAACACATGTTGAAGTTGAAGTTCTTTCTGTTGAAGCTTCAGTCCTCGTGGCTCAGCCAAGCGGCATTTCATTAATTATGCTATAATGATGGATGTCTTCTGTCTTTTGTGGTGTTTGGTGTGCGCAGCGCTGTTGCACTCTTACATATTTCTCTACACATTCAGCAGTGCTTCTCTCTGATCAGTCATGCACTTTCAGAGCTTCTGCTTGGTGCAAGATCTTGCTGTTTGTCTATTGAGGAATGCACTGTGTCTTTGCAAGTACCGCCAGCTGAGTGGAGAAATGTTGCGACGCACAGAATCGCACAAGGGCCCCGAGAAAGCATATGGCGGAGTAAATAAGCAGTTAACATTCTGGTGTTTAAGAGTACGGAAGAGATACATCCTAAGACTCAAAAAGACAATGAAAACAATTTATATAAAGCAATCGGTAGCCCAATAGCACTGCACGGCCGAGGAGAGCCACGTCTATAGTGAATTTGGCCTTGGAGCAGTCTTGGAGGATAAACAGTCCGAAGGCTATTTACTGGCTCTTTGCCAGCTCGCCCGAATTTGGTATTATCAAGTACGAACAAAAGCACCGTAGGGACACATAAATATTTACTATAAGCATCAGTATAAGTGTATACACTCAGCTCAGAACAAGCTTCAAGACTTCCTCGTCAGCCATGCGTGTCACCTCTGCCACAACAGCACAAACCAACAAAGGATGCAATGAGTGGGCGGCCAACACATGCAATCCTTCCAGCTCGCATTAAATATAAGGAAATTCAGCGGTGATAAAAACATAATGTTGGGAATATAAAACGGAGATGTGCTCAAGGCCTTCTCTGGAGGCGACACTGGTTCAAACCTCCGTGCCGACAGGCTTCGAATCAGAAACCACTGTAATCATTATCGTATCTCGGCACACTTAGGGGCGTACTGGTCCGTGTGAAGGAAATGCAGCAAAGCCTCCAAGGCCTCCAACGTCCGTGCACCATGTGATGTCTAAACTCAACTTCAGTTCGGGAGCGAAGATTCCTTGCCTTGCTTGGCCCTTGCCCCCCAAACCCAGCCCGAGTTCTCCGAAATGGAGGCCAATGAACCGGAACACTGGCTCAATGACCGCTTTCGAGTAGTTGAAGCACTCCTTGCAGCCAAGGAGCGTCTCCATTGACATCTTCTCCGAGCTCAATTGGGGTTTCTGTCAGTGCCTGAGCTGTATCTATGGCATGTTCACGAGACCTGCAGATTATCCGAGGATCTTGGTGCCATCTTGAAAACTTGTCCAGTCCGAGTCCGAACAAATCCACTCCGTTGCAATCTGTGGACAAAGTTGAAGAACCTAAGGGTCGCTCCTCCCGCATTCCACCGACAAGCATCGAGCGGAAGTACCTGGGTCTTCAGTTCCATAACTTTTGGCTCTAACATTGTCTAATGCACCCCTGTGTAGATAGAATCCGGAATGTCCCAGAAACGGTCGTTTTGTTGTCCCTAGGATAAATTGTCTTTCGAATGTGGCCAACAATGCCAAACCTGCTTAAAGTCAAAAGGAGACATAGCTGTGTCTCAAAAGGTTGTATCTCAAGCGTCTGTCTAGCATGTGCCAAGACATGCCACGTGGCAACCAGGTTGTTCATACAAAATGGGCTCTGACACCTGCTGTACATGTCTGAACAGTCTCAGTATGCAAGAACAAAAGTTTGTAGTTTGTACATAGTCTGAAACGGAATTGCTGTTTCAAGATGTTTCAAGTGTCTGGTTGCGTGAGATGCAGTTCCACGGTGAGCTGGAGAAAACACTGTCGCTTGTCCAACGCATCATCTTGAAGTGATTGAGCAACTGCAATAAATGGCTTTGATTCACATTCGGCAAAAAAAAGAGCTGTATGACTGCCACCTCTTATATATATATATATGGGTGTGTATTAAAATAGGGAGACCCCTCAAAGACCTCTGGGAAAACCAAAACGATATTAAATCCATTGGTTGGGAGCCATTGGTTCGAGAGGCGCCACCTACCAGCTGGTGGGCGGTGACGGCTGATCGGCGCCTTTTGCGGTAGCCATGGACTGGCACTCGGGTGTCAGGGCTGTGGTTTCGATTGAGAAGGTGGAGGGTGGGGTGGCGTTGGCCGTGGTGCTGGCGTGTCGAACACCCGTGGTTTTGGTTTTGAGGCCGGAGCTCCTGCCTCATTGCCATGAGTCGCGAGTTGTGGTGGTTCGCAACTTTCAGGTTGCATGGTGCCATGGAAGGGTTCGCTTCATCCTGGATACGCCCTCGGCATTGGGTGAGCCTGTGGTGATTTTCCAGCCTCATCTGGATTGCACTACTCCTATTTCCACTGTGGAGCTTTTCAGTGGTTTGGGAGGTTGGCATGAAGGCATGCGTGTTGCTCAGAAGTGCACCCGAGCTTTGATCGATTTTGATCATCAGGTTTCGGCGGCCACGGCTCATCGTTTGAAGACTGAAGTGTTGTCCCCCTCAGCCTTCTATGGAAAGGCTGTTGCTGGATCAGTTGGGAGTGCTGTGGTGGTGTGCGCCAACACCTCTGACAGGCTTGTGGTGCACCCTCAAGGCCTTTGCATCGGAGCAGGGCTTTCATTTGGCCTGTGAGAGTTTGGTCAATGTGGACAGTGTTCATCCCATTCCGAGGGAACGGTTGATCGCAGTTTGGTGCAGGCGAGACAAAATGGCTGATGCAGACAGTCTTAGGATCGCCAGCCAAATGTGGTGGAAACAGCCTTTTGTTTTCGAACCCACCTTCCAGCTGAGCCTTGCCACTGCCACTGAAAATGCTGCGCTTCGGCGCCTTTCGAGTGCTGACCTTAGTTTGCTGATTCCTGACACTGAGGCACTTGAGTTCCTTGGGAGACCGGATTTACTCCAGCCAAGGGATGGGGGAGGTAAGTTTTTCCATCCGTCGCAAGTCATCAAAGCCAGGACTCGTTTGCTGACGCAACCTATTGTTGCTGCAATGGCCTCGTATGGGCAGCAACATAAACTGCCGATTCAGCTTTTGAAGCGTAAGGGCCTTACCACTCACCTGGTGAGGTTCTTGCTGCCATGGGTTTCCCCCCGGAAACGGTTTTGGCTAAGGATTTCTTTGAAGCGCGCCGTCAGGCTGGTAATGCAATGACAATTGGACATGCGGTCTTAGGCATTGCTAAGGTGGATGCTGTTCTGGGACCGCTGTCCCCCTTTCGTCCGACGCTTGATTTGTCCGAACTCGCTTCCAAGATTGAGCAGCATCGTACGGGGCTCTCAGCCTTCCAGGTCACTGTCCAGGGTGACTTCATGGTTTTGACACCTGTTGATGAGTTCGGCAGTTTTGCGCCAACGCCATCAAAGAGGCCACGTGTTGAGGACTCGGCTATCATCTCGCCGACTGTCCCCTTTGGTATCCTTGAGCCTGCAGCTACAGCAGTATTGCCTTTTGAGCCGGAATTTGTGATGGCCCATCAGCTGGAACTGTCTGCGGGTTCTGTGGGCCAAACACGCAGTGGTGGCATTATTTTCTTGGCGCATAAGGAGGGGCATTGGATGATGGTGTGTCATGGTGCACCTCGTGAGCCGTTGTCCGCCTTTGTGCAGCGGGGCTTGCCTCATGCCAAGCGTGAACACTTCACTGCCTTTTGGGATGATTGCACTGAAGCCCTTTGGGATGACGAGATTTTGGCTTGTCCAGCCAAGAAGATCACATTTGACCCGGTCAAGTACTCCGTGAAGTGTTCCTATGATGACAACACTGGGCGCACTTTCCGTGCTGATGTGACATCCACAGTACGAGGTGCCATTGCAGCCACAGCCACGGCCATTCAGCGCAATCCGGAATCCCTTGCTTTGCTGCATAATGACACACCTTTGAAGTATGATGATTTCCTCTCTGAACTTGAGGTCAGTGCCTTGCAGGTCAAGTTCCGCATGGTCAGTCCTGCTCACTGTGCTCCTCAGATTGGCCAGGGTCAGGAAGATCAGGGTTTGAGGCCTGTTGATTGCTCTTGCGCCAGGGTGTTTGCTCGTCATCCAAACAGAAAAGTCCTCCGTTCGGGGATGGTCACGACGAAAGACACATGCGCCGAGGCAGTGAGGATTCTGTTGCCTGATGTTGCTGCAGCTGTTTCCTGGAGGATTGTTATCAAAGGGCTCTATCACGATGAGCAGACGCCCATTGAGCGGCTTTTGCGTGATCAGATTTCCAGCTTCGAGATCGAGTGGGACACTATGGCTCCTTGGAGGGTGACTGTGTGAACCTGATGACTTCTCACTATGCCCTGGGGTCATCTCTGTACCACCAGCTCAACCCTGGGGTCTCCTGCATTTAGGGGTGGATCAAATCGCCCTTCGAGGCAAAGCGGAAGTCGTCTCCCTGCCAGGTGACGTTGCTATTGGCCAGTTGGCAGCCAGTTATTTAATGGCTCATACGAGAATCAACACCTCGGTTCTTTGTTTGCTTGGTGGCTCTGTTGCTGACCCTCTCATGGCCTTTCAGGATGTTCCGGAGCTTGAGGTCATTGCCTTTCGCCTTTGCCCCCTCCGTGGGGGCGCCAAGAAGGGGCCTATGGATGATGTTCTGAGCGCTGCTCTGGAGGGTCATGGAGTTCCTCGTGATCAGCTTCAATCTCGACTCAAGCTCTTCAAGGATCGCTGTGACATCAGTGAACTCAAAGATTGCTTGGATGATGACAGCAAATTGTGGTCTCGCACGAAGACTTTGGCCAATGACGGCCGTGTCCGCCTGGTTACGGCGGCTGAACTCAATGAATGGAAGAAGAAGAACAATGGGGGTGTCAAACCCAACAGCAAGCCGCCATCCCAGGCTGCCAATCGGCCAGCAGAGCGTGGCAGAGTTCAGGAGGATGAGATTTCACCTGATGGTATTGAGGTCTCTCCCACCCACTTTGTTGTTGATGGTGATGCTCCGAGCTTTCTGCACCGTGACTGTTTTGGCATTGATGAGGAGGGCTCTGCAGCATGTCTGCCCACGAAACTCGTATTTGCCTTCAGCAAAAGATTCGTTCCAGCGGTGGTCTGGCTATTTTGGTCGTCGGAAAGCAGGCCAACGCCTTTGACAAATTTGACAATTGCATCACAGTTCCTGCACATTGGAAGAAGAGTGGGGAGCCCCTTGTCCTTCGATCAGCTTTGGTCAACGTTGGGGACACGAGTATTGAATTTCAGCTGCAAGTTCCTGTTTTGGAGGTGCCTCAAGTCATTGCTACTGTGGTCGAGTTTTGCATCCTGCGCAAGCACACGGCCTCATGGTCTGAGACAGCTTTGCCCTTGAACTACTTGGGTAAGCGTGTCACCGTGCTTCGGGGTCCCAACTTGCTTAGTTACTGGGCCCTCAAGACGTTCGGTGATGATCGCAAGCCAGCTGCTCATTCCAAAGCTACTTCATGGCGGGGTTTTTTCAAGGTTGCTGACACCTTGCTCGACAATGTTTTGATGAAATCCGGTATTGCTGGCATTTTCATGACCCCCAAGGGTGATGATCACAAGGCTGATGCTCGTTTTGTCCCAATTCCTATCACTACTGGGACTTTGGATGATGCTTGGAACAAGAGTACGGGTTGCGAGCACGCCCTTGGTGTCGCTTTGTGGGGTGACCGATTTGCAGTTCGCTGTCGTCGTGAGCGCGCCGAGCAAGCCAGAAAGATCATTGCTCCTGATGCTGCTTACATTGATTGCCCTGCTGTTGATCCTCAGGCTGATCTGTATGTCCTTCGACACGTGCCTGGACAGCCCTCTCATGATCAGTTGTCACAGGCCTTGGTCGCTCAGGATGGGAAGCTCAAGTCATTCGTCCACAAGGCCAGGCTACTTGGATTGTTGCGGCCAAGGATCCGCCCAAGACCCAGCACGTTGGTCTCAATGGTACCCTTGTCATCATTGAGCCTTTGAGGAAAGCCAAGGGCCCTTCTCTGACTCTGGTTGCCCGACATGTCCAAATGGGCGTCCAAATGCAGTTTGATGATGCAGGTCGAGTGGCTCAGGCCAGTGCTGTCTCTCGTATGGCTGAGGTCAAGTGTGAGATCCAGGCTCAGATCGCGGCAGAAGTTGGAGCCCAACTCCGTCAGGCACACGATAAGATGGACAAGCTCAATGACACAGTTCTAGCCCTCCAGAAGGCCAATGAGGAGAAGATCAATGCAACTGCCCAGAGTGTTGAACATATGCGTGAGGAGGCTTCCTTCACCAAGCAGAAGTTGCATGAGTTGGAGAAATCCAATGCGGCCACCACCCAAACTCTGGTCGCTTCTATGGAACGTTTGATGGGTCAGATGGAAAAGAACATGAACTCCAAGCTCGACACCATCAAGAGTGATGTCGTTGGCCGGCTCGCTGAGGTTGAAGAGAGTGTGGGCATGGGAAAGCGCGCCCGCAAAGAAACCGATGGCGCACTGTGACGGTGGGGGCATGGCCGCCATTTGCCTGGGGCTCGCCCTTCTGGGCGGCCTTTTGCCCGATCCATGTTGATGAGACTTTGGATGACTCTGGGTTTTTTCTTGCGTTACAGTGACGCTTGTGCTCAGCAGTTGTCCACCACAGTGCTGAATTTGATGCCCAATTTGCCATGCTCGTGTTCTACTTTCGAGCATACTTGTGCCAATTCATTGCAGCATGCTGAATTATTTTGCTTTGACGAGCTTTGCGCTGGTGATTGCTCTTCCAATTCTACTCTCTCATGAGAATCCTTGGGCCTTGCTACAAGAGATCATGCAGAGCCGTCAAGCAAGCCGCTGTATACAAAGGTCCGGCCATCATTATGGGGGACTTCAATATCCTTGGAGCTGCTGTGGCCATGACAGCCTGTCAGACTTGCAAGTTCCATACTTTTCCAGCGCATCCTGCGCTGGAGGCGCATTTCGACTTTGACATTCTGGTGCGTGATCGTATTGTTTGGCATCTGCCGCGGGATTCTTCTTCTTTGCTCATCGACCCCGACACTTTTGACAGTGCCAGTGAGGCTTCTTGCAAGAAGCGTGATAGCAAATTTGAACGTGCCATTGCTGCACATTCCCCTACAGATGCCTTACATTGCTTTGCAGTATCTTTTGATGAGGCTCTGGCTCAAAGCAGTGTTACAACAACTGGTGAACCTTGCCCAGTTCCTCGTTCGTACCTGGGTCGTTGTCGAGGCCCGCTCTTTCGAAGAGTTCGAGCTGTTGGACCAGTGTTAGCTCGTGCTAGGCAGGGCAAGTACCAATGCACAGTGCTCCAGCCTGGCCACGACTTGCGGTTGAAGGTCAAACAAGTTCGTCGCCTCTCCAGCCTCTTGGGTTTGATGGCCAATCTGGAGAAACAGAATTCCCGGACCACCGCAGCCATTTGTGAGGAGCTGTGGGCGGCCATCCGTGCAGCAAAAGGTTTCTCGGGAGGCTTTCCTCATTGGGCGCTTCGGAACTTGAGGATTTTTCTTCCCACTCCTTTGCCGAGTCGCCCTTTTGTTTCTGAGATTTTTGCTGACCTTTCCACTCTTGTCCGAACTCAAGAACAGATGGTTCGACTTCAGGAATGCCGGAAGTTCGCTTCCGCTATGGTGACTGCAATAAAGGTGGCAAGAAAGCTTTTGGTTCGATCCGGGAGTGTCAATCCCCACCTTTGTTTGCTTTTGCCCACACGAATTCCATTCAGGTTTGCCGTCAAAAATGGCCCAAAGCTGGTCTTTTGAGGGTTCGATGTCAGGGTGACTTTACTTGTTTTCGAGCTGGGCTCCCTGTTTCTTTCCAGAATCAACAGGTGTTTCTTCACTCGATCGACCCACCGTTCCTTCATTTGGATGCACCTCTGAAGTTGCGTAATCAGGATTTGACGATCACACAGAAACATTACACTGTTGATGTTCAATCGATGTGCCAAGAAGCTGGGGGTGCCTGGTCAGCCTTTTGGGGCCGGGATGACCCTGAAGATGCTGAACAGTGGGAACAGGCTGCAGCTTTGTGACTTGTTTGGAGGATTGCCCCAGCTGTCCCTATCAGGACTTCACGGAAGATTCTTGGCATGAGATGCTTCGTGGGGTTAAGTCAGGAAACGCACGTGGGAGTGACGGGTTTACTGCTGGTGACCTTCGATCTATGCACGGGACCATTCTCCAGTGGTTGTTCCCGGCTCGATTATTGATTATTGCAAGCCAAGGTCACGCTTCTGGAAAAGAGTGATGAAGTTCCCTTGGTCCCTTTGGCCAGGAGACCGATTACGGTCCTCAGCCGCTTGTACCGTTGTTGGTCTCGGTTTCGCTCCTTGCAGGTCCTGGCCTACCTTCGCACTTTGATGCCTGCGTCGATAGCTGGAGGTTTGGCTGGATCGAGCGCCGACATGTTAGCAGCCTTTACACTCTGTACACTTGAAGATGCCCGCATGGCCAATGTCGAGAGGCGCGGCGCAGTTCTGGACATCATCAAACGCTACAACGCTGTACCGCGTTGGCCACTCTTCGCTTTGCTGGTCCGCAAAATGTGGTTGCCTTTGCTGAGGCCCTTAGGCACCTTGTTCGTCATTTGGAGACCCTCGGTCAGACATCCCCTGATAGTGTGCCTAGCAGTACAGGGATTCCAGAAGGCTGCGCTTTTGCTGTGGCTTGCATGGCCTCCATTTCCTTTCTTGCTTCTAGAGTTGTTCAAGCTGATGACTCCACTGTTGAGGCGGCTTTTTATGCAGACAACTGGGGTGTTATCGCTGACAGTGTTCCAGAGCTACATGATGCTCTTCAGAATCTGACTTCCATGTTGGCTGCATGGCGCATGGATCTTTCTGTGCCTAAAAGCTGGCTTTGGGGTTCGCATGGATCCACTGTCACTAGGAAGGACCTTGAGTGTGTTCAGATTGATGGCCAACAGTTTCCTGTCTTACGAGCTGGTGCCGACCTTGGGTGCGACATGGCATATACTGGCAAAGTTTCGAAGAAGGTGACACGCAAGCGCTGGGGCAAGGCCAAGACATGCCTCGCTAAGATGCGCACCAAACGCTATTTGCCACGTTCCTTTAAGGCGACCATGGCCCGATCAGCTGGTCTTGGGAAAGCCCTCTATGGTACTGAGCTTGTTCACACTACTAACCTCCAGTGGAAGGAGCTTCGTGGGCCTATTGGCCGGTTTATGGGATATGTGGGCTCTGGTGGATCCACCCTGCTAGCCTTGGCGGTCTTTGACCCTGACCTTGATCCTCAGTTCGCCAACTTGGTCCGTACCATGCGCTTCTGGCGCCGGTTCATGCGCACTTTCCCGGGCATGCGAACCAGTTTTCTCAGCCACCTGGTGACTGCAGCTACTTCTGGCAAATCTGGACATGCCCAAGCTCTTCGCAAGACTTTCTTAGCTGTTGCGATTACACCGCTTGAAGATGGCATATTGGCGCTAGAGTCAGGCCTCCGTGTGGCTTGGTTGCGTGATAGCTGGGGAGCCCTGCGCAATTTCCTGACATTGGCGTGGCGACAGCATGTTTGTAGGGCCCTCTCGCATCGCCGTGATTTTGATTTGACGTCCTTTGATCCTGAACCTTGTCTGGCAAGCATCAAGGAGATGACGCCTCAAGAGCAGGGCATACTGAGAACTGTTGTTGGTGGCAAAAAGATCACGCATGATGTCTTGACACGATATGCAGCTCAAGTCAAATCTGATCGCTGCCCTTGCTGTGCCTCCCATGACGGTCGAGATCACAGGCTTCTTGAATGTGATGGTCATGCGCGTATTCGCACTGACTGTGCCTTGACACTCCGGTGGTTGCGTCAACGTCCGTTGGCAACATTGCATTTTGGCTTGCGCCCAGCTTTGGATGACCTCTGGTTGTGGAAACAGGAAGCTTGTGGGGAATTCCCTTCACTGCAACTGCCTTCGCCCTCAACGAGTGGAAAGGTATTCACAGATGGAAGCTGTTTCTTTAACACCCAGCGTACATTCTCCATCGCTGGTTTCGCTGTTCGGCGAGTGGCGGGGAAGAAAAGCTTTCTTGTGGCAATACAGAGGAGAGGCCATGGCCGTGCTCTGGGCGCTCCAGAACTTCTCCCGGCTTGACCTTTTCGCTGACTGCGAGGCCGTGTTGACTCGCCTCCAGAAGCTGCTTTCTAGAAGGGTTTCAGTCGATGCCTACGTATATGAGGGTCACGATGATATCTGGACACGTATTTGGTGGCACGTTCTGCAGCGTCCTCCAGACTCGATCGTGGCCCACAAGGTCAAGGCTCACGTCCGTTGGCCGTCCGTCTCTGACCCCGTACAACGTGATGAAGCTCGGTTGAATGGATTGGTTGATGCTGATGCCAAGTCAGCAATCCAGGACCATCCTAGCGGGATCTTTGGTCGTTTGGAAAAGGCATCTCACCAACATGCCCACCTTGTTGCTGGCGTTCGGGCTATTCACCGCTTTTGGACCACCAGCTGCAAGCAGTCTTTGGCTGCACAGCCTTCGGAACGCCTTTTGCAGGGTTGGCAACTTCCTGATCCTGCCCTTTTGATCCCTGATGGTGATTCTGTTGATCTGGTTCCCTTTGATGTTGACACGTTGATGAACCAAGGGTTCCCCTTCGGTCGCCTTTTTTGTGAGAGGTTTTGTACTTGGTGGAACGCCCTGACTTGGTGTCAGCATTCCGAACCTATTTCTATCCTAGAACTGTATGCTGACTTTTCGTTGCAGACCAGGTCGACCACGCCTGTTAGGACTTCCAAGAAGCCTTTACGATGGGAGTTGCGTGACAAATCAGTCGCTGCCGATCTTGCTCCAAAGACTTTGGGGGCCCAGCTCCGCATTTGGGGCCTTGTACTGAAATGGTTGTTTGCGGCTCAACCCGAGGGTTTTCCATCGGCCTGGATCCCTCGATGCCCTTCCATGCTGGTTTTCGGATACAAGCGATATTTTGGCGGCTTTGACTGCAGGCCCAAGTTGGCCTATTCCAGTTTCGCTGCTTTGTGGCATTACCTCCATCCACCGGAGGGGAATTTACACCAGTTGACTCGTCTTTGGCCACCAGCCTCCAAGGCTGTGCTTGGCGGCGCGTAGTTCTTTAGGATTGTCTGTGGCCCTCACGATTACTGGGGGGTCCCAGCGCCACCTAATACGGGTGTGCAGCAAGTCGCAAAGCCGCAAAATCCATTGGTTGGGAGGTCTCCCTATTGAATTACACACCCATATATACAAGCTGTGAAGCGATTCCTTAATTTCCTTGCTGGAACTCAGGAGCGTGCGCACTCCGTGCCTGCAATTTCATGACTCATGACCCAAGTCACAATGTTGGGTTGGATGGGTAATGGACATTATGGACATTATGCGTTCCACAGATCAACTCGAATGCACCAGCACGTTGGTTTCACCAAAGGCTTTCACTCCTAATTATTCTATGTCTTGGCAGGAAAAGCCAAGGTCTCAAGGCCTCAAGTATGCGCCCATCGGCCCTGAAAACGCGTCGATCACGTCCTCGTGTGCACCAGGCATGGTACTTGTGCAGTACAGTATACATCATATGATCGTATACAGTAAGTTGTTGCTACCTGTTTGCAAGAATAAATAGAATGAGTCATTGTGAGCGACTAAAGCACACGAAAAAGTGGACTACACAAACTTGTCCGCTTGATGGCAGACTGTCGATTGAAGACAAGCTCCTGCCACGAACTCGACGTCAACTCTTGCACCGCTGCTTGCCTCAATGTTTCAGCTTGAATGAGCCCCGAATCGGCAACACAAGCTTGGTAAAGCTTGCTTCCAGCAACACATGAAAATGGCAGCATAGCAGGCATTTTGTTGGTTGAAGCTGTCTGGCTCCTCTCAGAGTTTGGCTGTCCAGTCAACCCGGCGCATGTCGGAGCAAAACCTTGATCAAAGGCGATTCGCACAGGCCAAGGATGCAAGCCACAAAGGGCCGAGTGAGCCATCAAAAGACAATGCGTTCACAACAGCCAGCAATAACATATTCTGTAACAACACAATATTTTGGCTTGACTTCACCAGGGCACGTAGACTCGAGTGCATCTGTTGTCTCTGCAGTAAAGATCCGGAATGGGACCTTAAGGATCCATGACCCGATAGAACTTATGGTAATAGAACCAATGAATCTCTGTCTTGCAGCGCGTATTTGGTAGGGAGTGCAAATGCAACAAGTGTTTTGATCCTTGCTGATTTTGCTGTGTAGATGCATTCTGGAAATATCAATGAGGAAAGTGCAGTGTAGATGAGGAACATCATTCGCCCGTCTGGTGTGACACCATACCTGAGGCATACATGCATTCGGTATATGACAGAACCCTCTGAAGATTAAACCGAGGGTCAATGAGCACCGCACGTTTCTATACCATCTGTTTGAATTCCAGGGAGCCGCAGGTGCAAAGTCGAAACCTCTCTGAGGAGTTGTGAAATTGCTGAAAAGCACTTATTAAAAAGCCTGGTTGAAACATATGGACAATATGGAAACACAAAGAGTGTATATACAGGCAGGACAATTGTTTTGAACTTCCTGCCTCAAAGGTTTCTAGGTTGATCCGGCAAAACCTGGCTTAGTTGTTCGGCTTCAAAAAACAATCACATGCATTCATAGGTGTAAGCAATGCAAATGAAATCATGGTCAAGTCAAGCCTGTTATCGTTCTCCCGGACATAAGCAAAACGCTTTGTCAAGACCTAAGCATGCTGTCGTCCACATTCTTCAAGCGAAGTGCCTTCAGCTTTATATAATATAGGCAGGCCTTACAAAGTGTTGCAGCTAGTTGTGAAAACTGAGGCCCGATCTGGTCTCTTGAGGTGTGTAAAGCGTGCATCTGACGCAAAGCCATCTCTCCTCGCAACGCTCACAGCTTATGCTCTCTTAAAGCAGGGAAAGCATCGTGCTCAAATGCGAGAGCACGGAAAATGGGTTGCTAAACTCAGTGGTGGCGCATTTTCAGAGGGCCCTCATTTGCATGAATGGCTGCTTTTGCATATCTACCGGGGTGATGCTTGTTGGACGGCCTCTCTTCAACATTCCAACTTCCATGCTGGAGGCTGCAGATGTCATCTAGCGGCAACATCTCGTTTGGATATTTGCTTCAATGTTCCTTGTTTGTCGGCGCTAGCAGTGCTACCCTCAACGAGGACAAGGCATATGTCATTTGATGGGTTGGTATCCCTTTCCAAGCCGATTCTCATGTGCAAAATGTGCAAGCATTTGCTAAAATGGCTTTGTGTTTGACTTCATCAAACTATATATGCGAATTTTTCAATAGATCGGATTGCATGTTGCTCATCTTGATTCAGCGCAAAGATATATACATATATATATTGCATTGGCAGTTTCCAGCACATCAGTGAGGAGCATCTTGCAGCATGCATCAATACGGGCAACACATGTTCATTGGGTCTACCCTTCGTGCAAGTGCAGAGAGTGCAAAGAGGCACAGGGATTGTCAACTTGTCAACACACAGAATCGACAAATGCAAGTTACAAATTGAGCGTTGATTCGATGGCATAACAAATCAGGCTATCATCTGCTGTGACTGTGCCTGCCAGCCATCTTCGGATGGCCCGCGATGCATTCAACCGTTCGGTCTTCTGTATTCCACCTGTGGAATATGGCTGATGAAGTGGCAGGTTGAAGTAAACATGTGCATTTGAGCTCATTAGTCTCCAAGCTTGCCAAGGACTCTCTGCCAACCTGTAAACGCAGGTCTTCGAGGAAAAGTACACGTTGCCGTCCTGGGACATCCATAAAAGTTGGGAGGACATTCTGGCAAGTTGGCCATGGACTTTTTGGATTGCAGAAAGTGTTGCAAGGAGACCCACTCTCTGACAACAGTGCAACATGTTTGATGCGGCATGTCAATCATGGCCAACTAACTCTACCTGCCATGAAATGCGCAGTGAAATGGGAGCTGAAGTTTGAAGCTCATGCTGAGTTCAGCGTGCCAAGCCTGGCCAGCTGTGAGGTAGCTGTTTGCCTGACGCGGCGAAAGTCTTCAAAAGTTGCTTGAGCAGCAAGCGGAGTAGTAGGTAGTCTGCCCACGTCATTTGAACTTTTGAGTCAGCAACAACTGACAAATTCACCTGAAGACAATTTCTGTCTACCGGTGTCAAATCAAAGAAGGCCAACCCATATTAAGGTCTTCGACATTTCAATGAAATTCGGCAACGGAAATGAGGTGCTGTTTGGCCCATCTTCTTTTGAGCTCCCGCAATTTTGGGGGAGCAATGAACTGAATCTTTACACTCGCTTCATCCTGCTTTGGAAAGAAGGCGCAGGGTGAAACTAGACCTGCTCTGACAGTGAGAAGACATGAACTCATGAACTCAGATCTGTTTTGCACATCCTTCATCATGTGGAATGTTCTCCTGTCATTCCCTGCATTCCTCTTTGTACAGGCTTCGGGGGGATCATGTTTTGATTTTCCACGTTTAAATCTCAGGCATTTAATGCTCTGGATGTCTGGCCCTCCTTCGCAGCAGGTAGCATGCCAGTGGCTCCGAGTTCCGACTATGCAGCTCATCAGTTTAACCATCGTCATCTATGGACTCGCGACGTCGCCCTCAGCAAATACAAACCAACAAGGCTTCTCACGTCTGACAGTGCAGTTTTTTGCGTTCAATGCTCTCAGTTCTCAATCTGCCCATGTGCCCAGTTGGCCGAGGCGTCGTCGTGTTTTCCTTCTGCTCAAGATCTCTTCACTGTAACGGTCATACCACATGATGAACTCCTCCGGCAAAGAAACAAGAATGCCAGCATCTTCTTGCTATTTTCTGGATTGTCTGCTCTGTCTGCTGCTTGGGAAGTACAGAGGCCAAGCTTTAGGGCAAGTATAATATATATATATAATTAGTCTGAGTCATAAGGTGAGCGTGGTGTGTAAACGATGCCTGGAAGGTTGGCCTGAGCTGTTTCAAAAACCTGGTTGCGGTGGGGCTCTGATCAGCTTTCCCGCCGCTTGCGCGCCCAGTGCTTTCACTTTCGCGGACCATTACAGTACCCACATGAACCTAATCTAAGTTCCTTTCTTGAGGGTTTTTGACGCTGCTCACCTGGGTGGAATGCCTGGAAAGGATAGACTTTGGAGACTGACGGGCGGTTGTTCATCATGTCTTATCCACAGAAGTTGGGAAACACATGGTGCACCAGCTTGTGTTACGGCCCTTCCAGCATAATAATATATATATATATATCTCTTTGCTGCAACATTATGCTGATGTCTTGTGAAACAATAAACAATGAAGTTAGACACAAAGTTCTACACCGTAGGAAGGGTGCAGCGCCCAAATTTTTGCATCACCAATGTCCAAAATACAATGCGATCATACATGTTGTAAACACTCCGGCTGTTTATGAAACTCTGAATTGCTTGCTTGCTTGCTTGCTTGTACAATTGTATAATGAATCAAAAACAGGTTCCCTCACTTATGCACAGTACAAAGCACCAACGTTCGCTTCAAACCACCCACTTCGCGGATCGCCTATGTTGCAAATAACAGTTTCCTTCAACAAAAGTGTTAGGGCAATAATACTACTGTGCACATTGCACAGCGCCACCACCATCAACCAAGCTCAACACCATGAGCTGCATCCACTAAGTGACTGGAGTGACGAAAACCCGACGCCGGCAATGACATTGACACGTTTCAACTGAGCGGCCTCAAAGTCGATTTCGCCGCTTCCATCCTGGCTCTGAGGTTGCCCACAACAGCAAATTTAAACGACTCGACTCAGTGGCTTCTTCAGTTGAAGGAAGGGTGGCGGTGGCTTTGCCTGATCTGCTTGCTGCCAAAAGAAACGCAGGCGTTGCGCCCTTGGACAAAGAGAGCAGCAATCAGTCAAGCAAAACATACATGCCAAGCTTGGGAAAACTTGGCCTGATTGATTCAGCTTGAAAGAAATTGGATATATACTATATAATGATTGGGTTTGAACCATGAAGTTTGCTGTAAGCCGACTGACCGTGGCTGCATGTCCTGCTTCATCAACCTTCAGACGTTTCTTTCCGAGGCCAAAACCAAAACCATCCATCTCACGAGGGAGATGATAAAATTGTGCGACAATGCCGCATTTGCCACATGCTGGCACGTGTTTCATAGTTTCTCTGAGCCTTTCGTGGACGTAAACCCTGTCACCATTCCACAAACGAGGGAATAGGGGAGACTACGGCTCAAGCTTGGCCCAAAGCCTCGATTTTGAAGGAAAGGCAGCATGTTACTTTTGCATTCGATCAAGCTGCACAGTCTGCCGTTTGCAGTGAGCTTTAAAACACTTGCGACTGGGTTTCAGAAGCCCAGGAAGACCAGGCCACGCCCGGTAACAAGGCTACCCCATTGCCAACCACGCAGCGACAGATGTGGAGAGCCCTTCAATCAGATTTTGGTTTGTGTTCCTTTGACACTCCTATTTACAAATTGGATCAAACTGGGGGTCTTGCTGTCCTTGCTGTGCTCTCGCACAATTCAGCTCACAGTGTGGGGACTTCTGGCCGTTTGGCATTGGCCGACAAAGCTCCATCGCAGAGGGCAAACGAAACAATTCATCTTGTGCAAGCGCAGCGTCAGGTTCCGGAGGTCGCAAAAGCCGACATTGACAACCCACACAACTGCTCAAGAGGAACAGGAAGAAGCCCCGAGGAGAGACATGAAAAACATCGCCCATACATGCCAAGGAGGCATCAGCCCCACCACTCTCACCAAGCTGCCTCGGACTGACATGGTGCGACATGAGGCGATACATAACGTAAGTTGACACCAAAGAGGCCAAGAGCAATGGAACGTGTTGCGTTTCAGTACAGCCGAAACTTTCGAATGATCAAAACCCAGCAGTGCAACTAGGTAACGAGGAGGGCTCATGTTCACGCAGCTGCAAGGCAAACAAAGGCACACGAGGCTGGGCATTGGTTGAGAATAGTCTGCCTGATAGGACGTCACAGTCTGCAGTACATCACATTAATTTTTGCCATAAAGTCACTGGCACCCTGAATTGGAGTCAAACTCTACATTCTGGCAACATCCCGTTGAGATAAATTGTTCAATGAGATGAGAGCACATGAGCAAGCTGAGAGCACAGGAACCTCCTGTTTCAGCCAGGTGTTTTTCAGATGTTGAAGAACTCATCACTGATCATAATCCTCCTGATTCCTGATGTTAAAACCTTCTCGTTGGGCTTAAAATGAGACAATAAGTGCCTTGAATCTACTGGCCAGGCAGGGTTCTGGCAAAGACATGGAGACAGAAGCTGGAGTAAGAAAGGAGAAGTCAGGAAGCCGATTACTCGAACTTACCCCAACTTTCGTTGGTGAACTGGTAACACCAAAAATGGCAAAGGTGTCGAGCAAAAAGAGGTGGGTGTAGTTTTCAACTAGCAAACAGCTCTCAAGCTCCAAGTGGTTTTCCGCCGCCTCTGCAAGGGCGAAGTTCGTGAACCGGTAGGCCTCTTTCGGCCTGAGGTCAAAACACGTAGCGGGTCCTTCCTGAAAGAAGGATTCGGCCAAAGGAATTCCTAATTCGAGCCAGGGCGTCGAGCGGAGGCGAAAGTGGAATGCCTCTCATGCTCAAAGCAGAAAAAGTTACATGCCCCAAAGCTCTTCGCCGAAGCAGTACGCCTCTGGCGGATAAGATTCTGCCAATTTCCAGGAATTAGCTCATGATCCCACGGCTCAGGTGGCAAAGGCGTGGATGTAGCCATCTTCTTCTTCTTGGCTGCCACGAAGCCAGGGTCAAAGCGTACATTCCAGCGCTGGCCTTTCATCAGGAAGCGCTGACTGGAGCAAGGAGAGCTTATATAGCCGCATGCTGAGGTCCAGTCTGTTGAACTCTCCATTGAATTGCTCCCAAGACGGCACGAGCTTGACTCAGTTCATCTGGACTGATCTTCTCGCCCTCCTTGGAGATCGTGATCTGCTTGATCTGGCTGCAGTACTCAGCATGGTCCATTCGGAAGCCGAAGTCACTCTCTTGCGACAAGTTGATGCCGCAGTGTTGGAAGGGTGAAGGCTCCCAAGGACTCCATTTCAAAGAGTCGTACAGAGTTTGTACGGTTTGCAGCCACTTGCCATTGCTTTCGTCTCCAATCAACAAAAAATCGTCGACGTGGGTCCCCATGGCGCCAACCACCTGATCACCATCTTTGCAGACCCACAGGCAAGGTTCACAGCGAAGCCGCTTCATGCCACATGGACCTTGGGCAATGTTGGCAACATCATGGTACCATTCTCTTGGGGCGTTCACCAGGCCGTAGGCTGCTCGTAGAAGGCGAACAGAATCTTGAGGTCCCAACTTCAAGGAACACCACGAGCTCGTTGAGATTCTGAGCCCTGTAAGAAAGCTGCCTTGGCGTCTGCCTTGATGACATGCCATCTTCTGTGGGTGGCCAAGTTCAAGAGGAGGTGCTTGCTGCGCTTGGAAAGCGTCGGTGCTGCAGTGTCCAAGAACTCACCTTCAGGGTCACTAAACCCCAGGATGACGATGCGAGCTTTGGCCTTGACACGGCCAGGAGTGTCGGTGCCTTTCAGCACCAAGACACATCTCATTCGCATCAGTCGATGCTTTGGCACGAACCCCAAGGCCTTTTCAACCACTTTGTTGCTGACCCAAGACGTCACCTCCAAGGTCTTTGCCTCACTCATGGCCTTCTTCTGGAGGGGATTGAGTTTGTGCCAGGAAATTTCTGCTCCCTTTTGAATGGATTTTGCTGTAAATTTGGAAGGGTCTTTGAGGATCTTGCGCCATTCTGCCTCACTTGCTGGTGCATCGATTTCCACACCGAGGACGAAGGAGTTGGTCTCCTCAACGCACCAAGTCACCATGTCTTGGTTGTCGGAGGGATAGGCTTGAGGAAATCTCACGTGATGAGGTCGATCCTCCATCTCGTGAGCATGCCTTGCTCTTTTGAAGTCAGCTTCTCGTCCAAGTAGTTCAGGTGGCTCTCGAGGAAGAGGATGTAGAGGGTAGTAGCTTGGATCATCCATGAGCCTGTCAATGTCCAGGTCTCCAGTGTCATCAGGATGCAGTCCAGGCAGAGGATCTGGAACATCTCGCTCCTCCGCTTCAGGGATGAGTTCTTCAGATTCTGCGCTCATCTCATCCTCATCACGAGGGAATCGCTCCATCTGGAGTCCAGGAGCGCGTCACGCTGATCTCCTCATCCTCTGCATCTCAAAGCGCTCGGCCTTTGAAGAAGTCAAGTCCTCATAGGCCCCTTTTGAAAGAGAAGCTGCCAGCATAGTGAAGGTCCAAGGCATGGCCATCGTGTTGGCGGCATTGGCAATGAGTCTTTCTCTCTCGCTGCTGTGGCGAACTTGATCTCCATGAGCTTTCAACAAACGGCCGGAATTCACCAGCCAAATCACGCTGGAGGCTTGTCTTGTAGTTCCAGAACTGTCCACGCGTGTCTCGCAAGCCAACACGCGAGCAGGACCATACCAGCGAGCAATCCTCATTCTTGGGGCATCAACATCTTGATTTGCTGGTGACTGTCGTGGAACTTTATGTCGCTGGTAGTAGACGATGTCTCCAGGCAAGAACTGCTTGGTAGGCTTTGTTCTGCTGTTCATAGCTCTTGAAATGCGAGCTTCTGCTGAAAGTCGTGCGTGTAGATGTTCTGCTTCAAGCCGTAGTCGCAAGTTCTCCGCCATTGCATGTCCAGGCGTTCCTTGCGAGCAAAGAAGCGGGAGGTTCTCTTTGGTGGCACCCTCTGATCTTCCAAGTGCCCATTGTGCCGGAGCAAAACCTCCAACTCGTGCCACATGATTGTGAGCCTGCATCATGGCATGTGCTGCACGACGAGGATGGGTTGGCTCATTCCTCAAAAAGGTTTCCATCTTCAATCGTAGTGAGCCAATTGCCCTTTCAACATCACCTGTCGTAGAGTGGTGTTCGGCAGGCGTGTGATGAAGATCGATTCCTCGATCGGAGCACCATCTGGCAAGATCCAGTCCTCGGAAGGCTCCTTCTGCATCACATCGGAGTCGTTCTGGAAAGCCGAAGTATTGACACCAGCTCTCTTCCAAAGTTTCCAGAACTTCATTCGTGGAGACATTCTCGGACTGGTCGTCCTCGTGGTACTTGATCTCTTTTACCACTCCAAAGCTTGAAGCTTCATCCAAGAGAAGCAAGAAGTGATGAACCCAGCCACGGTGGCGCATGTAGAAGGTGTCCATTTGCAACGTTCTCCAAATCACATCTTCCTTCTCAGCCGCCACCTTTGCAAGAGGAGTGGAGACTTGGCTCTCCACACAGTCAGGACACTTCAGCTGGGATGCCACAGCCAAAACTTTCTCATTTGCACCTCGAGCTCGAAGAAGCTTGACTAGTGCTCGGTTGTTTGGGTGCCCGCAAAGTCGATGAATCTTGCGCACCGATTCCACCAAGTGTTGCAGCTCGAGTGGAGTGAGGCTCTCAAGAACTTCAGTCTTTGGATCTTCAAATAGAGCTCCTCCGACCAAATCGGCAGGCTGCAACATAGCCCGAGCTAGCCTCCTGCAAAGTTCAGGTGTGTAGAAGGCTGACTTTCTGGCGTTTGAGCCAAGGCACGGGACATGATGATGAACTCCAGGACATAGTCGGTCCACCCCTTGGAAGGCCTTCTCATCAGTCACCATGAAGCGCCAGGGTTTCTTGATTGGCCCATCGCTGCGTTGCAAGCCATACATGCAGCCATCAACCAAGACTTCATAGGCATAGCCTTGGTCACGAAGGGCGAGCCAAAACTCTTGAACTTCAGAAAAGGCGCCATGCTCGATTATAGCGAGGCCATTCCCAAGCAACATGTCCTCCTCGAGCTAGGTGATATTGAAGCACCTGAAGTCCTCCTCTCAATACCTTTCTCGCATGCCTTTTCCGGAAGGCACTTTTCATCTTGCCGGACTCGGTCAGCTCGTTCAAAGCTTGCACCTGAGAAGTCGGGCCGCAAGGAAATGAAGCCCAAATCCACCGTGGTCGATGGACGTCGATCATGTCGATGGTCTTTTGGATCCCCTCAGGCGTGGTCAAATTGCACTGGTTGAAGAGTCCTGCACGTCCACCACGACCGCCGGCTCGAATCACTTCCTGAATCAACTGAGAATTCTCGTCGCAGCAAAGCTCAAGAACGTCCCAATGCTGCGAGTTGGTGGTCATACCGCATGTTGCGAAAGCGGCTTCTATCTCTTCATTGAAGTCCTTGGTGTTCTCCTCGAGGAACGTCTTCTCTTTGTCCAAGAACTTCGACATGAAGTAGACCCGTTCTTCTTCTTCAGAGCCAAGTTCAGGGTCTTTCGAATTTGATGTCTGCTCAACTGCCCCTTTCTCACCATAGGTCTAACCATGATCTTTCTTGCAGGAATGACTTCCCAGACTGGATCATCAGACCCTTTCTTCTTCACAGGGAGGCTGGAGATGGCTGGGCCTCCGAGCTCGGCGACGCCAGTGATCCCGGTGAGATCTGAGGCCAATGGTCTTCCAGCTGCTCTGCACTGTCGTCGGCTCTTCTGGTCTTCCGGCTGGCGTGACCTGGTAGATGCTCTGGATCGGCTCCTGTCGGACTGGCCGGAGATGGTGTCGTGTTTCCGCTCTGATCCTGAGGGGTTGCCGTCGAGGTCGTCGAGTATCCTGCTGCCTTCTTTCGAGCTTGGATCACCTCCAAGCGGGACAGCAAGCTCTGTTCGGCACCCTCCAAGCCGATCGCCGGATCCTTGAGCTCCTTGTTGTAGGGCGCAGCCGGACCAAGCTTCTCCACCACCTTCTTGGTGTCCACGGGCAACGGACCAGGAGCTCGGTGGGTTCCAGTGGCTCCATACGCTGGGGTGTATGACAGCCTCAATTTGCACTTCTCGCATCCGGTCCATGAGGCATGTCCGTTGGCCCCGCTCACCGATCCTCGATACGGAGCTGCAGGTTCGTGGTTTCCAAAGCATGGTGGTCCTGTCGCTCGAGGATCTCGGCTGTCCACTCCCACCGTCCGGGTCTGATCGTAGCGCTCTTCCCAAGTCATCTTGGTCTTGACTGGGCTCTTCTTCTTCGAATCGGCTGCGCTCGATCCCGTAGACTTCGGAGCCATGAGATGCGGGAGCAGGAAGGGTCTGAGCGGACAGAAGGGGCGAGGCAAGTAGTGCCAACAGTCTCAAAGACATGTCGTTCTCTTGAGCCGCAAGTGCCACCGAAGATGATCTCAAAGTGTCCCCATCTTCATGAACTCTCACCGCACAAACATCACTCAAATAAGAGGTGGCATCTTCTGAAGGCATGGAAGTGAGCGTGGACATCTCAGAAGGTGAAAGGACTGCTTCAATCTCTAAACCATAACAAACATGCTCTTCATGACGTGCTCCAAAATCATGAACATGCCGATCATGAAGCGCTCCAAAAACAGGTGTGTGGTGTGCAAAACATCATGACCTTCTGCCTGATCTTTCAGCATAAAACAAGTCTCAGGTCGACTGCGCTCCTTGTATGACTCCGACGGCAAGTTGTCATCAGCCGCTAGCAAAATGCGTGCACCGTCGGCCAACCAATCGTGGCTGAGGTCAAGGAGAAGGTGACCCGATGTGCTCTTCTTGAGCGGAACAAGGAGCGTGGGGTCAATTGCTGAAAAGATCACTGCACTCTTGTTGCAATGATTCAAAGCTCCCAAACGTGAGAGCGTGCGAATTCCTACCAAAACAGGTACTCCTTCAGCTTGCAAAGTGAAGATGCCCAAACTCAATCTATGTTGTCCCAAACGCTGCGGCAGCAAGACCATGCTTTCGGAACGTTGTGTCATTCCATTGCCGAACTTGAAGGTCTTGTTTGGGCAATTCATCACCTCAAAATCCATCCAATTTTCCTGGGTCAGGCGCCTCTGCTTCATGATGTTCTCGAGAGCGCCAAGTCCAGCGCCCGTCTCGGTCGCACCAGTGTCAATCACTCCAAAGCCTTCCACTTCTGGAAAACTTATCTCTCCAGCTGCCATGATGGATGCCGAAGAAATAGGTTGTGAAATAGGCCAACACGTGTAGGTGGCATCTTCAGTCTCCTCTTCAGTCACCATGAACACTTTGCTGCCACCAGAACCAAACCCTTTTCCGGCCTTGGAGCGTCGAGGGCAGTTGCGGAAGTCGTGACTTTTCTCTCCACAAATGAAGCAACCAGTGTACAAAGGGCTGCCAGGTTTTCCACCTCCAACGGCCATGACATGTGAGGGGGTAGAAGATGATGAAGAACCTTTTCCACCACTACCAAAAGGTTTGCCCTTCTTGCCACACCCTTTTCCTTTCTTTCCCTTGGGGTAGAAGCCACGGCTCGCACTTTTCGCATGCATAGCTTTGCGACTCTCCTGGAAGGTCCTTATCTTGTCCTCGTAGGCCGCATAGGCGTCCTGAATCTGCTGAGTCTCCTCAGGTGAGCCGGACCACATGATTTGTTCCCAAGGGTCGGATTCGCTCCAGGCCCAATAGGTGCCCCCACCATCAGCGTGGTAGTACTCGCCGTCATCCTCCAAAGACCACCACACATAGGCCCCAGGATGAGTGGGATCACTCGCCCAAAAGCCATCTTCAACCTGCTCATAGGGCCTCGAAGAAGAGGGAGATGTCATCGACGGGGATGAAGTGGTTTCAGTCGTTTGGAAGACAGTTTGAAGTCCGCCATGCACCCAATGAATCTCGTTGTTTTTCAGAAGGTCTTCGGTGTCAAGGTCATCGTGCAAGAACAGGCCCCATTCTCCATCACACTCGACCCAAAAGCTGGATCGGTTCTTGCCTTTTCCTGAACCTTTATGGCGTCCATCACGTTCTCGGTCCAGGAGGTGTAGTTCATCTTCAGCACCACGTAGGCCTCGTTCGATGTCTTCGGCCTTGAGGCTGTTGCCAATGCTGGACAACACATTGAGTCGTTGAGCGGCATTCAGGGACGATCGACGAAGCATGAGCCAACCGATCAACTCAGTCGGAAGAACTTCTGGTAGGCCTTGATCAAGATCATCCCAAAGTTGCTCCATCGTCTCATCAGAGCTGCTGGATTCTGATCGGTCACCTGATCGAGAAGGTGAACCCTTTTCACGGCCTTTTGAACGAGACCGTTCTCCTTCAGCAGCTGAGGCCTCCGCAGGAGCTGAGGCGGAAGCCGGTTCTTTTCTCGCATGCTCTGATCCTTCATCTTCAGCAGCTGGTTCAGGCACCGAACCAAAACTCTGGCGTCTTGCCATAGGGCTCGAGGTCGGAGAAGTGCCGGACTTGGAACCACCTTTTCCATCAAGGCGAGCTCGCTTGAGGGCCCGCTGCAACTTCCTATAGTTCTCACGAACCAAGTGGCACCAGGTAGCCATACTTTGTCCGGGAGCTCGCCTCATCCGTAGTAGAAGATCTTCAGCTCGTGAACCTGCATCAGGAATCGGCACACGTGCAAGTCGGTCTTCAAGGAACTGGATGAGGTAGCGAGCGCCTGTGGGAGAAGTCAACTGTCGGTGATCAATCTCCTGAGTGACCACCCATGCTTTGCCACTGAGCTGGGAAACAAGGTCGGGTCCCAACTGTGATCGACGCCTCCTCCGAGTCTTCTCATAGGCCAATCTGACCTTCCTGACGTAGTCGGGCCAGGTCGAAGCATCACCATCCCAGTGACAGCGAAGTGAGCTGTCTCTGTCTTTCTCTGCCATCCCTTCGGGTAGAAGATATACTGCAAGACTCGCGCAATGAGTTCGGATGAAGGGAAATGGCCAACAAGCAAAGTTCACCAAGCGTGCCCTGGATCTCTTCGTGCAAGGACCGCTGATCCACTCCGGTCAAAGCCTCTCGTGAACCAGCGGGAGCCCCGGCCAGCGAAGCCGAGGCTCCGCTACCAGTTTGGTTGGTGAACTGGTAACACCAAAAATGGCAAAGGTGTCGAGCAAAAAGAGGTGGGTGTAGTTTTCAACTAGCAAACAGCTCTCAAGCTCCAAGTGGTTTTCCGCCGCCTCTGCAAGGGCGAAGTTCGTGAACCGGTAGGCCTCTTTCGGCCTGAGGTCAAAACACGTAGCGGGTCCTTCCTGAAAGAAGGATTCGGCCAAAGGAATTCCTAATTCGAGCCAGGGCGTCGAGCGGAGGCGAAAGTGGAATGCCTCTCATGCTCAAAGCAGAAAAAGTTACACCAACTGACAACACTGCAGGTGCTAATGAACATGATCAAATCACCATGCTGCAATCAAAAATCTGCCACCCTCTTGCATCAACAATATTGCAAAGCTCAGATGTCGACGGGACTTCGCTGAGGTCTTCGGTTCCATACAGCTTCAGAAGCATACTGGTAAACCTGGAGTTTCAACCCCCTCCTCCGCCTCTGTACAGGTGACCCTTGCATGCACCTATAGGATCCTATAGAATGATCCAATGCACTCAATCAAAAAGCGATGGCCTCCAACCTAATAGCAATGGCCTCCAACCTAATAGCAATAGCCTCCAACCCAATAGCGATGGCCTCCACCTAATAGCAATAGCCTCCAACCTATTAGCAATGGCCTGCAACCTAATAGCGATGGCCTGCAACCTCATAGCGATGGCCTGCAACCTCATAGCGATGGCCTCCAACCAAATAGCGATCGCCTCCAACTGATAGCGATGGCCTCCAACCCAATAGCGATGGCCTGCAACCTAATAGCGATGGCCTGCAACCTCATAGCAATAGCCTCCAACCTAATAGCGATGGCCTGCAACATAGCGATGGCCTGCAACATAGCGATGGCCTGCAAC